AGAGCCCCCCCCCCCCCGCGCTCCTCCCCACACCTCCTCCAGCTTCTTGGCGTTTCCCGTCACGAACACTATCTTCTTCCCGGCCAAGGAGGCAGCCATAGCTAAAGCTGGTAACCGCCCAGAAGCCCCAGAAGCTCGTCTCGAAAGGCGGAACACTTCCGACTGGAGGCGGAAGTAAGTACGTTTCCGGCCAGCCCCGGGACGCTCGGGCTGCTTCGACCTCGCAGCTCCCTCTGACTGCGGCCCAGTGGCAGCCGCAAAGCCGCTCTCCCGCAGATGCCTCCGCGCCGGGTGGTGCTCGAGTGGCCGGGGCTTCCCAGGTCCGGAGTGTGAGGTGCAAGGGACACTCGGGTCTCGGGTAAGAAGAAGCTGTTCTCTCCTTGTGTTTCTTCCTGTGTACCTTCTCCAGGGACTTGGACAAGGACGAAGATGCGCCCTTTGGACTTCTCCAGTGCTGTCATGGAGAACTATCACCCAGGCAGGGGCTCCCAAGTCCAAGTCTTCATCCTGACCTACACCTTGCCAAGCAGCTCTGATCTACTGGACGGTGAACTCACAGCCTACCCAAGTCATTCTTTGTCCATCTCCTCGGCTTGGGAGCTCAGTGTTTCCACTCATTTTCTCTGTCTCTATCAAATCTCTTTCCTCCACGGCGATTCCTTCAGCCCATCTTTGCATTCTGAACACAGCAAAGACGATTAGTGTGCACTATTGGACCCACATGTGAGTGGGGTCTTGCCCTTCAACCGACACCCTCATTGGGCAAGCCATCTGTATTTCTCTTCCAGGAACTCTGAAACTGCAGAGGGTAGCCTTTTTTTTTTTTTTTTAAACGAGTATCCGCCTACCTGAGTTTACAGCCACCACGTGCCTGCAAGAGGGGCCTACAGGAACCTAGGGAAGCCAGAAGAGGGCATCAGATCTCCTGGAACTGGAATTACAAGTGGTTGTGAACCCATGTGTGTGCTGGGAATTGAACCCAGGTCTTCTGCAAGAGCAGTATGTACTCTTAACTGCTGAGCCCACTCTCCAACCACAAGGCCTGTGTTCTTAACAAGCTCCCCAGTAATTCTAATGCTCACCAAAGTGGTGACTTGTTATTGATCTAGAAACACTATTCCCTCCCTGCAAAGCCCTTGGAGGAGTGGCCATGAGCTTTTTGGCAGACGGAGGCTTGAAGGGTAAGTTTCCCAGAGGATCCTCATAAGACCAAGTCTCCATTCTTTCCTTGATCTCTCTCAGGCAGCTCAAGCACCAGCTACTCCAAGGAGCCCTTCTGTGTTGGCTCTTACTTGCCTTTACAGCACTGGTCTTCCCTAGGATGTCAGTATTTCCAGGAAGATGTACATTTATGATTCTCTTTCTTCCTCTACAAATCATGATGGAAAAACATTTCTTTTTTGTCCATATCTCACCCTTAAGCCCCAGGGCATAGCATATAGCAAGTGGTAACAATACAGCTGATAGACAGCCTTGGTGGTACATGCTTTGAACCCCAGCACTTGGGAGGCAGAGGCAGGTGGATCTCTGTGAGATGGAGATCAGCCTGGTCTACATAAGGACTTTCAGGCCTGCTGGGGCTGCATGGAGACCGTGCCTCCCCCCCCTAAAAAAAAAACAGCTGAGGGGGCTGCAGAGATGGATCTGCAGTTGGGAACACTAGCTGCTCTTGAAGAGGACCCAGGTTCAGTTCCCAGCACCCATGATGGCTGACACCGATTCATAACCCCATTTCCAGGAGATATAATGCCCTCTTCTAGCCTCCATGTGCATTGGATGCATATCGTGCTCATATATATATATATGTGTATGAGTGTATTGCCTGCACATATGTGAGTGCACCCGTGTCGTGCAATGCCACAGAGGTCAGAAGACAACTTCAGATTCCCCTGGAACTGGAGTTAAGGACAGTTTGTAGCTGCCATGTAGGTGCTGGGAATCGAACGGGGACCTCTGCAAGAGCAGTCAGTGCTCTTAACCACTGAGCACAACTGGAGCTACAGGGAGACCCTGTCTCAAAAAGACCAAAAAAAAAAATAAAAGATATACTTTTAGTATCCCATGTTATCTAGGGCTCATGAAGAGAGAAGCAAATAAATTTGATTAAAAGGCGAAACCAATATTTCTGAATTCAAATTCCCAGAGTTTCCAAAATTGTCATTAAAGCATCTGATGAAAGTTGGATTATTTGGGTGAGTGCCACAGGCTTCATGGGGTTGCCAAAACATGAAAGGATGGAATACAGATTGCAAGTGGGAAGTTTTGCTATAGGATTTTTCCAGTCCCACTCCCAGGTTAGCCCAATACTGTCTCAGTGCACTGTGAGAAGTCTAGCTACTCCATGGTTTGCCGAATTCAGCTCCATCTTCCTTCAAATATTTTCTCCTTTTACTACAACTGGAATCTTCCCCTCAGCACTGTCCTCCCCGACAGCACCCTGGCTTTCTCCCCTTAAGTAACATGAACAGAGAAACCAAAAGCTGGATATCTTGGCTTTCTCCCACTCAATTCACAGTTCTTCGCAACCAAACTTTTCACCCCACGGAAGCTGTGATGTGTTCAGGGATACAGAACTGCACACATTATCTTCCTTGGAACATCCATTTTTCTTAAACGGTTTGAAGTCAGGGATAACCTTATTTTTATATAAAATAAACATTATGGAATAAAATGTTTATCCATATAAGCTGTTAAGATAAAATAGGAGACTTGGAAGGTAACTCTTGTTTGTAAGTGTGGCAAGTGGGCCATATGTTCACTGTACGCTACATTTTTATGGTATTACCATGTTTGTTTTTGAGGAATTCTGTTGGAACTTTGAGTTACTACTTACCAAGAGTCTAAACTTCCAGTGCCTCTGAGGCAGAACCAAGTAATCTGCCTTGGGGTGCAATTCCTCTGTTCCCACCTGTCTGCTTCCCTATGCCATACCTAAATCTATGAATTGAACACTGTCCTAGTTTGTTTCTCCATTGCTGTGACAAAACACTCTGACCAATACCAACTTGGGGAGGAAAGCGTTTATTTAGCTTACATCTCCCAGGTCGCAGTTCATCAGGGAGCCCAAGGTAGGAACTTAGGGCAAACCTGGAGGCAGGAGCTGGAGCACAGGCCATGGAGGAACACTGCTTACTGGCTTGCTCCCCTGGCCCCTGCTCAGCCTCCTTTCTTATGCAACACAGACCTACCTGCCCAGGGGTGGCACGACCAACAGTGGGCTGGGCCCTCCCACATCACTCATCAAGAAGATGCCCCTCAGACATGGCCACAGGCCAGTCCAATAGAGCAAATTCCCCAATTGAGGCTCCCTCAGCCCAGGTGAGTCAAGTTGACACTAAAGCATCCAGAACATATACCTACCACAGAACTTTAGGGTCAGCTGATGTGGGTGCATGTAGGATAGTTCTCAGGTAGAAAAAACACATGCTTTTTGTAGGAGTTCTATTTATAGCAACACTGTGCATGCTATTGAAATGATTTATTCCTTTGAGACCAGAAAATTGCGAGGTGTTTCTAAGTTAGTGTAAGATTTTTTTTTTTTTTGGTTTGTTTTTTGTTTTTGTCTTTTTGAGACACCGTCTCCCTGTAGCCCCAGCTAGCCTGGAACTCACTTTGTAGACCAGGCTGGCCTCGAATTCACAGAAATCTGCCTGTCTCTGCCTCCAGAGTGCTGGGACTAAAGGCATGCCCCACCATACCTGTAAGTTTTTAGGTTAGGATTACCCCAGCTCACTAAAGATGCAAGCATGTGGAGGCAGAAAAGAGTTTTGAAATACTGAAAAAAAAATTTTTTTCTCAAACTGGTAACCAAAAAATGACTAAGAAAATTTTAGTGCTATATTTATCTGTCTGTAAAGATTGGGAAATTTAATATAACACTAGTTACAATCTCCATAAAATTACCCTAAAAGAAGGACCAGCAAGGCCTGGAAAGATAGTTCAATCAATAAAGTGTTTCCCGTGCAAGCATGAGGACCTCAGTTTGATCCTCAGAACATGATGTAGAGCCTGATGAATATTAAGGAAAAATAGGAACTTTAAGCCTTGTTTTCTCTTTGTGTCTCTGTCAGCAAAGTTCAGCTGACAAGTTTGTAGTTAGAACACTTACAGAGATAGCTAGAACCTCTGGCCTTATGTCCCGATGAAACTTCCTCAATTCTCTGTCTCAGATGGAGAGTTCTGCAATGACTTTCAGACAGGAAATTTTCTTTAACATTTATTTTCTGTCTAAATTTATAATAATTTGCCTAAATTTTGAGACTGTACTGCCAGCCAATCAATATGTAAGTTTCCTTCTCACTGTAACTCATTGCCTAAGGTATAAAAACTATGTGCTACTTTCCTTTGGGTCTAGATTTTGGGGCTTGAGCCACTGGACCAGCTGAAGCCCAAATAAAATATCTGCTTCCTGGACACTCCCAGTGTCCTGCCTGATCTTTCCCACAACAAACCCACATAAAAAGTTCACAGTATGGGGCTAGAGAGATGGCTCCGTAAGAGCACATACTGCTCTTGCAGAGGACTGCAGTTCAGTTCCCAGCACCCATGTCTGCTGGCACACAAATGCTTATAAATCCACCTTCAAAGGATCTGATGCCCTCTTGGCTCTGTGGGCACTCGTACTCATACGCACAGACACATACATATACACATAATTTTTATTTATTTTTGTCTTTTTTTTGGTATTTTTGAGACAGGGTCTCCCTGTAGCCCCAGCTGTCCTGGAACTCACTATGTAGACCAGGCTGGCCTTGAACTCACAGAGATTCACCTGCCTCTGCCTCCCGAGTGCTGGGGTTAAAGGTGTGTGCTACCACGCCTGGCAGTATATCTTTTTAGCTTTGAACTTTTTCTTTTTTTGAGACAGGGTTTCATTATGTAGCCATGATTGGCCTGGGACTCACTATTTAGATGAGGATGGCCTTAAACTCATAGAGGTCCACCTGCCTCTGCCTCCCAAGTGCTGGGATTTAAAGTGTGCATCGCCATGCCAGGAAGTGCCTGAGGAGACCAGGAGAGGGTGTTAGCTTCCCTGCAGCTAGAGCTGCTGGTGGCTACCACTGAGCCATCTCCTCAGGCCCGGCATTTAACTCTTTCTCCAACTATATTTTTAAGTCAGCTGTCTTCATTTCCACAAGGGTAGAAGTGGCCTCTAAGAGACCATTTGTGTGAGTCGACATGGCCCTAGTTTGTCCTCATTTGCTTCATGCTTCAGTATAAACAAAGTAGAGTCTTTGTTTGCATGTTGGCAAAAACAAACCAACAAAAGACTCCTCTAATGCCTTTCCAAATATCCCATATTCTTCCTAATGAAGTGATACTGTTATAATACAATATTACAGGGATTGGGTTTCCTGCGTAAGTTCAAAGCAGCTATTGAATTACCTGAGGAGCCCATCAGGTTAATCAAAGGGGTTCTTTCCTTGACTTACTAGAATAGGAGAAACAAACAATAAGCATAAAACTGATTGTCCTGGGCTATTGAGCTGGCTCAGTGGGTAAAGGTATTTGTCATACAAGTCTGACAACCTGACTTCAATCCCTGGAACCCATGTAGAGGTGGAAGGAGAAATCTGATGCCATAAAGTTGAGCTCTGACCTCCACGCATGCCCACACATTATGCCTAGATACACAAAATAAATCTTAAAAAAAATTGATGCATTAACATGTAAAAATTAAGACAAATTTGTATATAATTAATTTACAGGTGCATACTTATCTAGAAGAGAAAAACAATAGCTGTCAATAGTGATAACTTTTCTTTTCTTCTTTTTTTTATTTTTTTGGTCTTTTTGAGACAGGGTCTCCCTGTAGCCCCAGCTGACCTAAACTATGTAGACCAGGCTGGCCTTGAACTCACAGAGATTCGCCCGCCTCTGCCCCCCAATGCTGGGACTAAAGGTGTGTACCACCACGCCTGGCTTTAAAAACTCTTTTATTTTTACTATTATTATTACTTATTTTTGTCTTTTTGAGACAGGGTCTGCCTGTAATCCCAGATGACCTGAACTCACTATGTAGACCAGGCTGGCCTTGAACTCACAAGGATCCGCCTGCCTCTGCCTCCCAAGTGCTGGGACTAAAGGTGTGCACCACCACCACGCCCGGCCTTATTTTTGTCTTTTTTAAAAAATATCTCATTGAGCTGGGAGTGGTGGCTCACACCTACATAGTATGTTCCAGGACAGCTGGGGCTACAGGGAGACCTTGCTTCAAAAAGACAAAAAAAAAAAAGCTATTATTTTATGTATGTGCGTGTATTGCCTGCATGTATGTAAGTGCACCCGTGTTGTGCAATGCCCACATAAGACAGAAGAGGCTGTCGGATCCCCTGGAACTGGAGTTTACGAACAGTTGTTAGCTGCCATGTGGGTGCTGGCATTCAAACCCTGGTGTCCTGCAAGAACGGTGTTCTTAACTGCTGAGCCATCTCTCCAGCCCTTATTTTTGTCTTTCTGAGACAGGGTCTCCCTGTAGCCCCAGCTGGCCTGGAACTCACTATGTGGACCAGGCTGGACTTGAACTCACAGAAATCTGCCTGCCTCTGCCTCCTGAGTGCTGGGACTAAAGTCATGTGCCACCACATCTGGTGTGAATGAATGTTTTACTTACATGTATGTGCACCATGCACATGTAGTTCATCCACACACAAACATGTACACATGCATATGCACAAACACACAATGGACCAACAACCACTTTACAAATAATTTAGAATATCCAAAGATAGAAATTACAATAATCTGGGGTCTAGAAGGATGGTTCCGAAGTTAAGAGCATATACTCCTCTTATGCTGGGCATGGTGACACACGCCTTTAATTCCAGCACTTGGGAGGCAGAGGCAGGCGGATCTTTGTGAGTTCAAGGCTAGCCTGGTCTCCGTTGCAGATCCAGGCTAGCTGCAGCTACAGAGAGACCCTGTCTCAAAAAGACCAAAAAAAAAAAAAAAAAAAAAAAAAAAAAAAAAAAAGAGTGTATATACTGCTCTTGCAGAGGACCTGGGTTTGGTTCCCAGCATCCACATAGGACAACTCACAACTGCCTGGAACTGGAACTCCAGCTCCAGAGAGATCTGAAGCCTATGGCCTCAGAGGGGAACTGCACTTTACATGAACATACCTACACACAGACACATACATACACATAATCAAAAATAATAAAAATACAGGGCTGGAGGGATAGTTCAGCAGTTAAGAGCACTTGGCTTCTCTTGCAGAAGGCAGGGGTTCAATTCCCACAACCCATATGGAGACTAATAATCATCCAGAACTCCAGTTCCAGGATTCCAAAGCCCTCTTCTGGCCTCTGTGGGTACATACATAAAATAAAAAATAAATGAATAAACAAAGAAAAATAACCAGATGTGATGGTGCATGCCTTTAATCCCAGCACTCTGAATGAAGAAGCAGGTGGATCTCAATGAGCTAGAGGACAGCCTGGTCTATATAACGAGTTCCAGGCCTGCTGATCTTCAGAGAGACCCTGTCTAAAAAACCAAAACCAAAAACAAACAAAAAACCCAACTCAACATAATTGGTAATCAGTGTTTGATCTTCAAATGGGAATCGTGTATATACTGCTCTTGCAGAGGACCTGGGTTTGATTCCCAGCATCCACATGGCAGCTAACAACTGTCCATAACTTCAATTCCAGGGCATCCACACTCTCTACTGACCTCTGTGGGCACTGCATGACATGGGTGCGCTTACATATATGCAAACAATACACTCATACACACAAAAATATAAAAGTATATATAATGGAGAGTGCCCCCTCAGACCCACCCCCCCACCCCCACCCCCTCTGAGAAAGAGCTGCCCTCCACCTAACTCTGGAAATCCCCTAGATTGTTCGAACCCTTTCCTGGTATATCTCTTTATGGTTTTTATGGAAATGGTCCGGGGCAGAAGAGGAAGAACATTCTGCCCAGGTAATCTAGCCAATGGCTGTATAAGGTAAGGCTCTGGAAATCAGCCCTATATTGTTCAAACCCTTTCCTGGTACATCTGTTTACGGTTGCTATAGAAATCCCCTGCTCTGCAGTTTTTGTGTTTAAAAACCCTACATTTCGAGGGCCCTGGGTCACAGTGTAGCTCCCAGGGCTACCTGCATCCCCAGCCGGTAGGTTTCAATAAAGCAGTTAAGTTCTCCTGAGTCTCAGTGTCCCAGTGGTCAATTCAGGAAATTTTTCAGACCCCAAACATATAAAACCAAAACAAAAGTAGGGCCCCTGTACTCAGTGGTAGAGCCTTAACATGCATAAGAACATGGGTTTAATCTCCAACACCAAAAAAATAATAGGAGCTGGAGATATTGCTTAATGTTTACAGCACTTACCTAACCTGTGGAAGGTTTATCAATACTGAGAAAATTATGAAATATTCCAAATTTACAGAAAATACTGAAATAGATGTAGCAGATATATTAATACACATGTTGCCTTTTTTCTTTTCAGTGCTAAGAGCAAACTAAGCCTTGACCATGAGCGTTCCACTGAGCTACAACCCCCAACCAGGCTATTGTTTTTTTCAAACCCTCCTTTTTGTCCTTCTATTTCTCTTCTTTTTGGGGACAGGGTCCTGTAGCCCAGACCGGCTAAACAGCCTAAAATGACCTTGAAATCCTGACCCTCAGGCAAATAAAGGAATTACAGACCTATGCGCCATCACGTGAGGGGGCAGGGGCGTTGGGTTTGGCGCTGAAAAACTACGGCCTCTAGGCGGGGCGGGGCGGTAGGGGCGGAGCGTAGGGGGAGGAGCGTATTGGGCGCAGGGAAGGGCTGCGCGGTAGTGGGCGGGGCCTGGGCGACCCGGGCCTCCGGGACCGCTGGCCGTTCTTGAGGCTGTCGTCATGGTGGGCCCCTTGGTTTACTTAGCGGCCGCGGTTCTGTTGATCGCTCTCATCCTCTTCCTGACTCGCCGCCGGGGTCGGGCGGCCGCAGGTAGGTGGTGCCGCTGTGGCAGGGCCGCTGGGGTCCAGTTCTCAGAACTCCGGGGCCTGGGCAGGCCGGCTTTCCGCACCATGTGCGCATGCGCTGGCCTGCCTAGCTGTGTTGAGCTTGCAAGGGCCTAGCGGAAATGCGCATCCGCGACCCGGAATAGGTCGCCGCGGTAGGACTGCGGAGGCAGAAGCCCCTACACTTATTCCCGCGCTAAACGAGGGCCTCACCCTCCCTTCTGTCCCTGACACGTCATACTCAGTGGTGCCCTGCCCTCACAGACACTTTCATCTGCCGGAGCGCTCTGCACCGGTAGGAGAGGCTGCAGGGTTCCCAGTTCCTCCCAGTGTGCTCTGCTTTCCTGTGAGTTGGAAGGACGGTGAGGTAACCTCAGGAAACGTTGAAGGCCTCTGCTGCCTCGCCAGAGAGGACACTCATGCTGCCTTGGCCTTCCCTAGGATCAGAAGACCGTGTCATTGGCCGGACACAGAACAGATAACCTATTAGCCCTCCTTCCTCACAGTTCTTGTCAGCAGAGAGGGTTCTGTGCGTCCGTCTGTTACCTTAGCCCATAAAGCTCCTCTAGAGCGCCCCTATGCCCCAAAAGGAGAGGAGAAGCAGGTAGCCGACAAAGATTCCTGGGACGGGAGATTCAACCTCTGATTGTGAAATGTAGTCTCTGGTTGGGGTGCCCCAGAAAACCCTAACAGATGATATTAAGCAAGTAAGAAATGTATTCCTAAGCGGGGCGTGGTGGCGCACGCCTGTAGTCCCAGCACTTGGGAGGCACAGGTAGGTGGATCTCTGAGTTCAAGACCAGCCTGGTCTACAGAGTGAGTTCCAGGACAGCTGGGACTACAGGGAGACCCTGCTTTAAAAAAAAAGAAAGAAAAGAAAAAAAAAAATGTATTCTGGAGTGGGCATTGAGTGAGGTGTAGAAACCTCCGTGTGAGAGGGCCTAATAGGTCACCTGGAAAGAGGGTGTGTTGAAGGGGGAGAAAAGTATTAAAACAACCTTGCTGCATTAGGCCAGGGTGTGAGTTATAAAGGCCTTGACAGACTGAAGCTGGAATTTTATGCTGTGAGCAGCAATAGTCTACGAGGATGAGACTTCTGGGTGCTGTCCCTCTACTGTCAGGAGGGTAGGTTGCTTGATAGTTTTATGGTTCCTCCCTCCCTGAAGCTAGTCAAGAACTACGGCACAATGAGGAGCCAGTAGCAGCAGGCCAAGTGGGCCAGTCTTGGCCTCTGGAGTCTGAGGAGCAGAGAGCTGGAGGCAGGCCGCGGCGCCGGAGGGACCTAGGCAGCCGCCTACAGGCCCAGCGACGAGCCCAACGAGTCACCTGGGCAGAAGTGGATGAGAATGAGGCGGAAACTGCTATCCCAGGTGAGCGGGTCCAGACTGATAGGGAAGAGGGCTGGATTGTAGGGGCTAAACTAGATAGGGGCAAGGAGCATGAAGCCACAGAGCAGAGGGGATAGACTGGTCCTTGACTTTGGTCCTGGGGAGCCAACAGTTCTGGGCCCCAATCCCTGGTTCATTGGGCAACCCCCCCTTTTCATCTTGGCTCAGTGGGATTACTATAACCCTAGGATAAGCTTTGGAAATAGAGACATTCCTGTTAACACATAGACCTCATACCTTTACCATGTACATACACATAGCCCTGGATTGTGGTGAAGGAGCTCACTTCTCCAGTACTTGAAGGCTGGCTTGAGTCTGAAGAAAAGATGTTTGGACTGTACTTAGAAGCTACAGACATTTGAGACTTTTGCCTTGAGTCCTTGAGATTATTAGCCCCTTTGGCTTGAAAAAGGGCCTTTTGTGAATGTAGTGATGCATGTTTATAATCTCAATACTCAGAAGACTGAGGCAGGAGCATGGCCAGTTTCCTGCACCATCCCTCTGGTCTAGATTTGGGGTCATATACTCTTCCTGGTCAGGTATCAGCATAACTTTAACTTTCAGCCAGTCCTGGAGTAGTCCTGAGATTGGGGTTATTTTTTTCAGTCTAGCTCTGGTAAGATAAAGGGATGGTCAGAGGCTGAGCACAGGACACTCAGCAGTTGCTGACTGGGGAAGATGTTAGATTTAAGACTGGGATAAATTTCCCCACAAGGCCATGCTTCCCTGGAGGTTTGGCACAGAGACAGAAATCAGGGTTATCTGCAAGTACAGACACTTTTCTGTGATTCTCAGACATACAGGTATTGACATGGCTGGCCTGGAACTCATGCTGTGGACCAGGTTGGGCTTGAACTCACAGAGATCAGCTTGTCTCTGCCTCCCCAGTGCTGGGATTAAAGGCATGTACCGTCATGCCCTACTTTTTTTTTTTTCAATTGCATTTTTATTCTTTTGAGGCTGTGTATGTACATGCACATGTGCCACAGTGCAGTTATGGAGGTCAGGGGACAACTTGCAGGAGTCAATTCTCTTCTAGCATGTGGATTCTGGGGCTCAAACTCAGGTCTTCAGGCTTAATGGCAAGGACCCTTACCTGCCAAACTATCTCACTGGCCCTGACATCTTCTTAGACCTATGTATTATCTAAAGTCTCATTTGTGCCCATGCTCCTAAGCCCCCCAAGCACACGTGTACTCACATTCATACTTGTACATGCATGTACATTTATGGCAGATGCCTCTGGAAGGCAGGTGTGTGTAGATGCCTCCCTATGAAGATAGTAACAGGGATAGAATGGCTCCTCTCTGACTAGGACTTGAACTATCTTTCTCCAACCATACCCAGCCCAGGAGGAAGAAGGTGTTGAAAAGCCAGTGGAAACTCAGCCAACAGGGAAAATTGGAGCCAAGAAACTACGGAAGCTAGAGGAGAAACAAGCTCGAAAAGCTCAGCGTGAGGCAAGCAAGAAGGATGGGGCTATCTGTGAGAGGTGGGAAAGGGCCCATTTCCCCAGTTCCTGTAACGGACTCTGCCCTTGGGGGCCCTTTTTTCTGGGCTGGTAATTTCTGGGCTGGTGTGTCTGGCTTTGTCTCCTGCAGCCTTAGTCTGTGCCCTGGCCCAGGATTTGCTTTCTCTGGGGAGTAGAGAAACTAGCCAGGGATAGGGGATATGTGCTTATGAAAACTTCTGGCCAGGCAGAGGAAGCTGAACGTGAGGAACGTAAACGCCTGGAATCCCAACGTGAGGCAGAATGGAAGAAGGAAGAGGAGCGGCTTCGCCTGAAGGAGGAACAAAAGGTGAGATTGATTCCAGACTCTTGTCTGACCCATGATCAGCTAGCTGGCTACCTCCCATGTAGGTCCCCAATGCCTCCATCCTGCAAGATAGGCCATGACACTGGGTGTGGTGGCTCATACCTGTAATCCCAGCACTTGGGAGGCTGAGGTAGGCAGATCTTTGTGAGATAAAAGTCAGCTGGACTACAGAGCTAAACATCTCCAAAACAAAGCATAAGATGGCCATGGACCCTGTACAAGGGCCTGTTGTGGTTTATTTGGTCCCTGGTTTCAAAATGCCATCTGTGGAAACTGCTACTACAAAGCAGAGTTTAAACTGGAGATTCTTGTGAGTATGAGTTATGGAGTATGCTTAGAATATTTGAGGAACATTAGATAGTCAGAGCAGCTGGAGCAGAGAAAGCAAAGAGGAGAAAGGGAGACAAAGCAGTGAGTGGTTCTAGATCCTGAGGCCTTGAGGCTGTTATAGACTGTAAGAGATGGTGAATCCATTTAGGGCCTGTCATAGAGCTGGTGCTCAGAGAATAGGGGCCACCATATAAAGGTAGTTAATGAGGGGTTAGAGAGATGGTTTAAGTTAAGAAAGCTTGCTGCTCCTTCAGAGTATCCAAGTTCAGTTTTTAGCACTCATATCAGGAGGCTTGTTAACCATCTATAATTACACCTCTGAAGATCCAGTGCCACCTTCTGGCCTCTATGAACACCTGAACATATGTAGCATACACTCTAACAGACATACACACATACACAATTTTCTTTTTTTTTCAGTCTTTTTTTGACACAGGGTCTCCCTGTAGTCCCAGCTGGCCTGGAACTCACTATATAGACCACCATGCCTGGCAACCTTAAAAATTTTGTATATGGCTGGGTGTAGTGGTACACACTTTTAATCCCAGCACTTGGGAGGCCAGAGGCAGGCGGATCGCTGTGAGTTGAAAGCCAGCCTGGTCTACATAGTGAGTTCCAGGACAGCTGGGGCTACAGGGAGACCCTGTCTCAAAAAGACCGAAAAAAAGTTT